TCATCATAGTCAATCCATGTAAAACTACACATATGTTGAATACCATTTTAAATAAAGGTTTGTTAGAGTCTAGTAGACTACCCAAAAATATTAAGGAGTGTGGTAATTTAAATACTTTTAAATTATTAATTAAAACTTATGTATTGTCTGAAATTTTATTCTGATTTTTCTTTTATAATTGTTCTGCTGTTTTATACTTTTGTTCCGTGTACTTTTCTACTTTTTTTGCTACTGGCTGGTATATTTAAAATGTAAATACGATTGTTTTCTGTTATAGCTTTATGCTAAATAAATAAAGTATTTTATTTATATTATCTTCCCTATGAAGTGGATGTGCAATCTTGTCATTTATTACTTGCTAATTATTATTATTATTGTTATTTGCTGTGCCCAATTGTTTTCGTTAATGCATTCAGAAAATAAAAAAAATACACAACTTTTGCCCTAATCACTTAAAACTTTAGAACCTTATTTAATATTTATCTATTTATGTTCCTTTTTCTATTTCGCTTTTTCTGCAGTTTTCACGAAACACGTAGGGCGAAGGGGAAGGGATAGGCTCGAAACATTCTCACCCTCTCCGGTTTGTTTTCGGTATATGTTTCTGCAATATTTCGAGAGTATAAAAGCATTGCTTCCTGTCGTAAACGTTCTTTGTTTGCTTAATGCTATTCACGTTTGCCGTGGGCGCCGGTTAATAACGTTCCCTTTTTTTTCTCGAGTGCCTTTCCGAGAGGCCATTTAGAAAAATGCGAATTGGGAAAATTGGGTTATTCGTACAGGACGTAATATTAGAAGATTACCATTTCATGTATGTACACCGTGTGCCAAATAAAACGATTCACTATAAATTCTGGAAAGCGATAGGGGATACGAAAAAAAAATTCGTTCAAAACTTTCTTCTCCTGAAGATTTAAAATATTATAATTTTGTTGTTACAGAGTGTCCCAAAAGTGTCCCCCACGACATTAACTTTGTTAGTTCATTCATAGAACACTCTTTATATTTTCCTATTTTTGGAATCCTTGGCTACAATGCGGGTCACTTTCTTAAACAAATCCTCTTCGAATTTTGCATAGTTTACGCAGAAATTGAGGTTATGTTCTTTTTTTTTTATATACTCAATCGGTTTCACAAATGCGTATCAGCTTATACAGGGTGTCCCATATAGGTGGTGCCGTTTTGGCGAATTCAATTATCAAAATCTCAAGATTTTCAAATCGAACATCCTATATTTTTTTCAGATATTAATTCTAGTCCATAAAATAAAGTAAGTCGGTAATTCATCTTATATTCAAATTTTACTTACTTTTTGAGATATTCGAGGTTTACCAGTATAAATTATTAGCTGTTTTTTTGATAGCTGAGACATTATTATTTTAAAGATATAGTACTCCATATTTTTTAAATAGCAATATGAAAAACAACAAAAACAAACAGAAATGTCAAAGTTTGTTTATACCTCAATGCTTGAAAAAAAAAGTGATGTCATAGCCAACTACATTTTTAAATATATTGATATAATATATTGATATTTATCATTTTAAAAATAATATTTTTAACTAAACTGTATCGATCGAATTAACGACCTACTTTTAATTTATTTTTGTTTTATATATTTATTTATTCAAATTTCTTACGATGTTTGGTTAGCCTATAAACTCTAGTTATTTACTTTTGTTACTAGATATTTTCAATCAAGCTCGATAATTATCTATTAAATGTTACTTTTAATATGAATTCTAAAGATTTAAGAGATTTAAAGCGTGTAGTATAGAGTCGATTTTTTTCAAAATTTCCACGTATTAATGGCCACCCTGTATCTCTTTTTTTTATATATATTTAATATTGCCAACAAGTAACCTAATGTGGCCAGCTTTAAATTCAACAACAATTTTATACGGATGTTATCTTAAACCTCGAATATCTCAAAAAGTCATTTAAATAATTTAAATAATAAAAATTACAATTACGATATTTATTATCCTGGAATTGATATCTGAATAAAAATATAGGGTGATGCATTTGAAAGTCTTGAGATTTTGTTAACTGAATTCGCCAAAACGGCACCACCTATTTGGAACACGCTGTATAAGCTGAGGCACATCCGTCAAACTGATTGAGTAGTCTATCATCTCCTTAGTCCGTGGTTAAACTTTTGTTGCAATACCTCGATCAGTAGCATCGCAATTTTATATGGGGCAGTCAAAATATGAAAGAAAACACCAAGGATTCCAAAAATATCGAAATATACAGGGTGTTCCATTTAAAACAAAAAAAGTTGATGTCGGGGACACCCTGTATCAACAAAATTATAACATTTTAAATCTTCAAGAGAGTCCAAGAAACTTTTGTACGATACTTTTCCAGATCGTATTTTTTGGCACACGGTGTATGCCTAAATACCCAAAAAATCCTGTTACAATGTCTCCTAGTCCCTATAATTTCCCCAAATGCCCTCACGCTACCCCACAATGCACTATAGTTCGTTGTAATGCTTTTTCAATGCGTACAATTCAAATGCAATACCTCATAATTTCTAACAATTCTTCAGGATGCCCTTTAATTCTTTTTTTTTTTAATTCAAATACCCATCACTTTTTTTTAAACGTTTTTAAAGTCACCCAAATGGAAAAATACATAAATAAACCAAATTAAAAGTCATTTATTTCATTTCAGTTAAATTTGGAGTACAGTTAGTTGGTCTTGCTTGCAGCTGGCTGACCAGGGGCATAATAAATGGATTTTTACATGAAAAAGCCAAAATATTTTTCTGATCTCTGACCAACGGAACAAATATAGGGTTGATGAAATGAAAATAATAATTTCGGTTAAAATACAAAAAAAAAAAAAACGCATATTTAAAAGTTTAAATTTTCTATTAAGGAAGTTCTTGACTTAACCTATCATAAAATATTTAACGAAAAACAAGTTTGTAAGTTTTAGAAGAAGTTTTAAAATCTTAGAAAACAGAAATTAACTAAATGACGTACTTAAAGCAAACTTATTAAATAATTATTTCATTTTTTCCTCTAAGATGACGTAGGTAACTTAATGATTTGATTCATTATTTTTGCCACTTTTGATTGAAACTTAGTGTGATACAGCGAGAAGGAAAATGGATTTTCGGTAAGACCTTGCTAGGGAACAAAAAGCGGGGTAAGTGCGATTCATCATTACTTTTGGGAGCACTGGATGTACTCTATTTAACAAATGAAATATCTAGGTCCGTATTTAAAAACAAAACTGAAGGTTGTTCCACAAAAACTCCAAACGTTCTAAGTTAAATCTGGCAAAACGAATTTAAAAAAATATGTATAAATTAAAAGATGCTTGTTTTCGGTTTCTTAAATATATCAAAAAACCAAAATTAACAAAAAAACAAAAATTGAACAAATATAGCGACTTACTATGTCCGTATTTTCAATATTACCTCCACTACGAGTCATTTATGGTTAGCTCATTTTGAGGTTAGAAAAAATCGGATGGACTTCGCACACGTTTATTTATTCTACGTGGTGTTGACACCAAATACAAATTTTCTTAATGTACTTATTTTTTCAGGTGAAAAAGGGTCCAAAAGGGGCATATTATACTAAGTTTTATTCCAAAGCAATGTTGCTATAAGACATCCAGAGAATATATTATTATATTTTTTTAACTGTTTGAAAAGACATCAACATATAACACTACTTTGTATTTTTTAATGCAAAATTTGTCTGCTGGTCTTCGATTCATTCGAAAAACGAGTAAAAAATTTAGTAAAGAGTTTTCAAATTATTCGTCGTTTTTTTTTTTTCTCGCCTTGTTATTATCGGCTATCAAAACCGATAAAGATACAGCGAAAGTTTCTTTATTAAACCCCCGACGTTCATAACTTTTAATTAAGTTATCGAAAATCCACACGGAGATAGGAGAAAAAGTTTCCCCCGCAGCTGAAGGACAATATGGGCAATGTTTTTCAATTACGAGGGCCGACGCCATCGGAGAAATTACCCTTTTCTAAAGGAAGGTTTGATATATATTTTTGGCGAGTTTTAATTGGGTGAGCTAACCAGATTTTCCGGTAAATTTAATTTTTCGCCATTTATGCGAGTTTAATGACGAATATGGGGTACCTACTTTGAACGTAGCTCACTAATTTGTTTTCGAGAGGATTTAAAGTTGGAAATGGATCGAATGCCCGGATTTAAATGTTTTTAGCTTTAAGGGTAACAAAGTCGAATACTGATTGATGAAATTTATTATTGATTGGAAAAAAAAGATCGGGCATGATTTCATTTTAATGCCGATAAGTAGCTGTAGTTTCCAACTTCACATGTACAGGATGGTCCAAATTCGTGGGGCCTCTATGGCTTTAAGCATTTGCAGCATAGTCAGCCTAAAACTAGTGTGCATGTTAAGGGCTCGATTTTCGAGAGAAGTCAAAAACTGAAAACCGCTTCGTGATATGTCAAGGCGTTTTTGAGCTACAGGGTGATTCCTAAAAACCTGCGATTTTAAAAGCCCTCTGTGACTTTTTTAATTGTAAGAATAAAATTTTTAAGCGAGAATCTCTCTATTTTATCCGTTTTGTCTGAGATCCTTCAGTTTCCGAGACATCACACAAAGTTATATTTCTTTAAATGGGATACACCACTATTTCAAAAAAATCAGTTTTCTAATAAAATTTCCTGTCGAATGATATGCCATACACCTATTTTTATTAAATAGTTTAAAAGATATTTGCTATTTTGATATTTAACATAGTAGGCGCTGCGTGCGCCCTACATGTGTAGGTAAAATTTCAATGCTTTTTTTTCATACAAAATCATGTTGGCTACGACACGAGGGGACACAGCAACCTCGCACTTCTAGTTTACAATAATTACCACGCCTAAAATAATAAAAGGGAATAAAATACTTTTTTATTTAAAACTTTTATTAATTAAACTGTGTAACATTTAAAATCTACACACAAGTTTCTTTAATTCTAAAACAAATGCTCAAATTGACGGTCATTTTCTTGTAAACATATCGTACATCTTCTATTGACGCTATTTTCTGCATTAAGAAGTTTTACCGCACGAAGCTGAATGAATGCAGTAGGAACCTCTCCAATTCCTTTCTAGTAGTTGGGCGATTTCGAAATACAAGGTCTTTGATTCTCCCCCACAAAAAAAAATCCCAAGGGGTCAGGTCTGGAGACCTGAGGGGCCAATATATAGGACTAGGATTTGTTGATCCTATTAGGTCCTCATACTTACCACACGTGAAGGAGGAAGTATTGAAAGCATAAATTATACAAGTTTGTGAGTGGGAGTCCTATAGAAACCACTTATAAATTTTTTAAATTAACTTGTACATAAGTCAACACTTACCCGTATATAGACGCATTCTTTTCCTTACACTTTTGATAACAAACAAAACAAGTTTTTCACAAAAACACGAAAAAGGTACGGAGATAATCAAAACCACCAAAAATGTAAACAACAATGACGCAGACAGTTAGTATTCTCTTTTAATAGAAATTCCTAGCTCGGCGTTGCCAATTATATTCGGATTTCAGAGACTGATTTTGCGTTCTTATGAAAATTAGTCAATTTTTCAGATAAGTTACTTCAATGTGGCAACTCAGTTATTTGGAGGTGACGCATGCGCCAAACATCCACACCTTCTCTACGAGAATATCATAGCCACCTGCGACGCATCACTTTTTAACGTAGTAGGGCCAATATATTATCTAATACTACAAGTCTCCCAACAAAAGAGTTGATTGGTATTTGTAACATGCGTAGTACATGCGTTTCTCTTTGCTCCCTATTCTCCTTCAAATAATTTTTAGGACGTGTTTGAATAACTAGAAACGGTTGTGGTCTCTCTGAATATCTAATATAAACAAAACGCGTTTGTATAATATAAGAATTATACTGACTATATAGCTTTAAAAACTTTACCTGCTCTAATATAATTCCGAAGCTTCTTGGGCATTTTAAACATACCAACATATCATATTTTTCAAAATTTTCATACACTGTGAGTATTGTAGAAAATTAATTAAAATGAGAAATAAACACGAAACGAACAAACGGATAGGCAATAGAAATATAATTAGAAACTGACAGTTTCGTACATTTTCTTTTTTCTTTTTAATTGAAGAGTCATAGCTAACTGACTACTGAACATATTGGTGACGGAATTTTGTCTTTGGAAGGTTGTGGTCAAATGTATTCTGTGATGGAACGCTTAATATATACAATGTGGAAAATACTAGAGAAAAGAGCAGGTGTAATGTGAGCCAGTTTCAGCTAAGCTAGTAACATTAATAATATTAATTGTAATATTAATTAAGTAATATTGCAATAACCTGTGGAAAGGTAAATATTCGTTGGCTTATAATAAAACGTTAAGCTACCGAAAAAATAACTATAAACTTGATGTGAATGAAGGCTCGAAGATCTGCACAACGAATCTAAATTCGAACATAAATGGAAACAATATTTTAACTTCCATTCCGAAGTAAAAAAAGAACAATAGTGTGGGCGTTTTTGGAGCATTGTTGCTCGCAAATTACAATCCAGTTCGTAGCCGAGAACCAATTTCATTGCACAATTTAAACTATACCGTGGCGAAGGACAAAACGCAACACTCAATTAAAAACCTAACACGTCGGAACACACAAAACGAATGAATTGAACTTGTAGCTTTCAAACGCACGTATTGTGTGTGTGTTTTTTTTTTAATTTTTTCCACTACTGTGTTATTGTCCATAAATCTGTTTTTTGTTTATTATCACAGTTTTATTCGTTGTTCTAATTGCGCAACAGCAATTTATAGTGCATCAAGCCGAAGGCGATGAATAGGAATATAAAATAGTGAACGCATTTTTTTCTACTTCCTTCTGCCTACAGGGTTAATTTTGAAAAAAAAAGTGTATATACAAACGTTTTACTCTATTATGTTATGCATATGTCAGAAAAAAAATTTCTACGATTTCTGAGATTCCAATAGTTCCCCTACCCCAAAATAAAACAATAAATAGCATACGATCAATGTATGGTGTGGTATGTTAAACAATATGGTGGTCGGACTAATTATATACGAAGGATCCTTGAATGGCCAACGATATTTAAGTTTCCTTGCAACAGAAACAGAACAGTTGTTAGAAAATGTGCCGGTTAGGAATTATTTAAATTTAATTTGGCATCAAGATATCGCATCTCCACATATAAATATGACTTACCACGAAAACTGAACCCAAAACCCACCCAGAAGGAGTTGAAACAGCGCTGACACCCCACCACACCCTCCATATTTTCATCACGCGGTCGTTCAGGAAGTGGGTGTTATTTTTCCGGGAAATGTTTCACATTACCGACGTATTTACGAGCCGAGATACCAATTACTCCGGAAATGGATACTCAGTACATATTTCTTGGCGAATTAAGGGTTTTTTCGGAGAAATCTACTTAATTTGCTGCTATATTCTCGGAAAGCAATAAATTTTCCGCCCTTGCGTCTCGATGCAGAACAATGCATTTTAAGCCGCTCGAGAAAACGAGATATTGTTTTTTTTTCCTTCCCAGTAAACAGACGTAATATTTTGTCTGGGGAATCTGCGCCAGGATAAGCGAAGGTTGTTCCTAAACAAGTTGATGTTTTAAACAACCTACTGCAACTTCGTTCCGTTTAATTTTACATTAAGATTTGATTTATTTGGATATTTCTTTCTTTGGAAGACTAATTACCTCATCGCCATGTTTAAATAACAAATTCTTGTTTCGCATATTTAGAGACAATCTATTGAAATCTAAAGACAGCATAGTTTTAAGTGAAAAAAATGTGTATACATTTTCTAATATTTCATAAAACAACCAAAATTTTGTTGCCAAAAATATACAATTCTATCAGTAAAATTTGTGACCTGTCAAGATTAGTGCAAACGATTTTAGAAAATATATTTTACACCTTAGAAGTATATTCCTTTCTAATCGCATATAGCCGCCATTGTGCATTTGTGTTGGGAACGTATGAACCTAAATTGGAAAATATGTCTGCATTATTATTTAGAGATAATCTATTGAACATTAAAGAAAGCATAATTTTAAGTGAAAAAAATGTGTATACATTTTCTAATATTTCATAAAACATAACCAAATCTTTTTTGCCAAATATACAATCTATCTAAAGACAGCATAGAAACAGGTTTCAGTAAATAGTATTACAATAGGTAACTTTATAGTGGAAAGAATCTTCTCTTTTGGCGGAAATAATCGAAACTTCTCCCTTAAATCGATTGCCAATTATAATTTTAAAAATTCCATTGGCACGAATACGACATTTTCCAGATTTCCTTCCTCCAATTCAAAGTCCCACTCACCATCGTGTCTATTCACGGACGCTTCCGAAATACTGACATAGTACAGGCGACCTCCATTAAAACGACATTAGGAATTTAGGACGCAAACCTACCGAACCCTATTTAAATCGTCCGCGAGGCAAAAGGGCCGACGCTTTCTTTTATATTACCGCAAAAACCAATTACCCTATCAATAGCGGCAATACATTGTGGTATAAACGGCGTGAGAAGCCTCTCGAATCTCGATCTTGTTCCTCTCCTATATTTTCTATCGTTCGCACAGGGTGCTCCATTTGAGAGAGACTTAAGGTGAAATACTTATATATTTCTATGTATACTTGCACCAGAAATATAGTGCTTTTACAACCGACCCCGTAATTAACTTTGCCTACTGTTTCTTACTCCAAATCCGCAGCCCCCTATTGGGATTGAAATTTACATTGGCGATAAAATACATTTGCAAAATTTAAACATGACAGTCAGTTTTTCTTGTATCTTTAGATTGTAATTGACGTGTTGTCGAAATCTTAGTCCCAGGTCTCTAGCACAGCTTGCTGCTATTGCCAAAGATTGAGGTTATGGGGAAAATGTCTTGTTATACGTAATAAGTTCTATCTACTTGCGTTAAGCGTTGATTTTATATTGAGTTTAAGTTTGGGCATAACTTCTAAACTACCAATAGATATGAAATGATACATAATTAAATTCCAATCCCAATAAACTTGTTAAGTACAGGGCGTTCGGTTTAATGAAAATTATTTTTCTTAAATTAGAATAAACTTTTTTTTACTGTAATTTCTAATCACCCTGTATAAAATATTTTCGCCATAAATAGGTCGAAGGATTAAATATTCCATCGATCCATAATAATAATTCCCAATCATACTTTTCAAGTGTAAAAAAAACACCGTTTTTCCCCTCAAAGAAAATGGAAATAGTATATATGCAATAAATGCGGTAAACGGCATTTGAATGACGAATGCTTAATAAACGAGTGAGATAAAGAGTTTACCAAATATGTTGCATTCTATATTTTTTCTACTACTGTAACGAAAAAATCACAATTTTTAGCAAATTAATAACAATAACATATTATTAGATTAATAAATTTCGTACCATTCAAACAGTATAATTACTGATAAATTGGTTAAGGCTTTCGCGGCCCGTTGATAAGCTATTATCTTCATTCGGGTTTAAAAGCCGTCGTCGATTGGAATTTCTTCCTAACGTTTCGCTAGCACGAGTGGCGAGCTTCTTCAGAGGTCCTTCCATCTCCGATGTCTACGTCTTTTTTTTGCGCGCGATAGTACCTACTCTGATGAAAGAGATCTTATCGATGAGAGTTTAATGAGGTTTGTACTTAATGAAGTTGAATTCATAAAGGTATACCTACATCATCGTGCATCTAAGATCACTTTCATGAGAAGACCATCAGCGCCAAATCAAGCATTTACTTAAAAGGCGGATTTTTTAAATCTGTTTTTTAAACATAAGATACCGGTCTCGTTCTTTTTATTTTATTTTTACAAAGTACAGATATATAAAACCCGTCTTTCTCAAAACTAAGATACTTTCAGATGTCGATAAGAAGGCAAACACATCACAAGCACTAAAAGAATGTAAGAGTTGCTGCTTGGCTCAAAAGAAATACTCTCATCAAAGAATGACAGAAAACTTAGATGTAGTTACTCTAAGTTAGGTTGTTCTATATTTTTGGTATATTATATACCTTCAATTTTATCATATCTAAAATGAAAAAAATCAGATGTGTTTAAAATGTGTTTTATTAATGTTATGAATATCGCCTGATATTCCACTGATGACTTCACCAACAATACCTAATAGGTTAATTCCATCACACGCGAGTACCAAATACTGGGATACAGGTTTTGTAGTCATACAACCAATGGGACTACTGGACATTACCTTTCCAGTGTTTCTCATAGACTGTTGAAAATAACCTAATAATTAAGTAAGGAGTATATCCTCACAGTCGGATATGCTAACGACGTCTCAACTAGTATATCTGGATATCCTTAGTATGTACTAACAAACATCCTACGGACATACGTATCTGATATACCGTGGACGTTAAAGGACGTTTTACGGACGTCCTTGTGCTTGTGGTTTTAATTGTAGCATATAGCACGTAGCAGTGAATATTGATTTGGGTTTTGAAAAAAAATCATTTTTCTCAAAAATTACTCATAATTTCGTATTCTATGTAATGAAAAAAAAACCTCAATATCAAGTAAAATTAGAATTTTGAACACACACTTTTGGTATTTAACATTGTGTCATACTCATTGAGATAAGGTATCTTACACGGGCCACCCTGTACATCGGTTGATCACAAGCTGCTCGCCACATCCCGCTATAGAAACGTATCTAGATACATATATATAGAATATGGAAAATTCCGATTTGGCGTGAGGAAAGGCTCGGAATTAATCAGCGAGAGCCGAAAATCCCCGACCGAAATTCGTCGGGAATGTAGGATTTTTGTGTCGACAACGGCCTGATTTTATTAAAAAAATTCCGACGTCACTCACACCGCGAGATTTATTTCGGCATTTATATTAGATCCGGAGCGGGAAAGCGAAAGGGAAGCTTTTATTTCTAAGCCGGTATTTAAAGCGCCATCTTCCCCATTTTTTTTTAGTTGTTTAATTTGGAAATTCAATTTTACGAAAGTCCACCGTAAGCGGTTCAAATCTGACGTTTGCCATTAAAATCGTTTGTTTGATGAGAAACATTAACAGGATTAAGATCTGAAAACCCATAGGAGATACGAAAAAAAATATTCGTAAAAATGTTTCTTGGATTCTCTTGAAGATTTAAAAAATTATAATTTTGTTAATAAAGGGTGTCCCAAAAGTGTCGACATTTTTTTATTCCTTGGTTAAAATAGAGGTCACTTTGTTAAGAAATTCCTATTGCAATTATGCATAGTTTAGGCAGAAATTGAGGTTATGCGTTTTTTTTTTCATATTTTGATTGCCCCATATAAAATTGTGTTGTGACTAATGAGATGATGAACTACTCAATCAGTTTGACAGATGCCCCTCAGCTTATACAGGGTGTCCCAAATAGGTGGTGCCGTTTTGGCGTATTCAATTAACAAAATCTCAAGATTTCCTATATTTTTATTCATATTACTTCATATTATTATTTATTATTATTAGCTTTTTAAATAGGAATATGAAAAACAACAAAAACAAACAGAAATGTCAAAGTTTGTTTATACCTTAATGTCATAGCCAACTACAAGTACCTCGAGGTATTATATCTGGGAGGAATTACTTTGAATGAGACAACATTAATTTTGATGAATAAGTAAATTATTTTTGATAAAATTTAATTTTTGAGCATACCTCGTGTTTTATCATCGATCCCTAATGAACTTAGAGAACGTATAACACCATATGACCCACTAATTATGTTATACATGGAATAGAATATATGAGATATCGGATTGTATTGACATTTACCAAAAACATTCGGCTCCTTGTTTAAGTTATACTACGAGTGGATCGTTTCGGAGCACAAAAATTGCAAGTTGTCGAAACATATTTGTACTGGAAATATGCCCTGTTGGAAGCATGAAGATAAGCCAGCTTCAAGAGACAAAACTCGTTGGACAAGCCATCAACCATGTAAGATCAGAGAGTACCAGACGTTAACCAGAGGAAGCTCGAGAGCCAATGGAGATTATTGTTTGAGTAAGGGAACCTAACCTTTAATTGTGAAATATAATTACTTTGTAACTTCTATACCAAAGTTCGTATCAGATCATGAGATTGGAGAACATGAAAATAATGTAATATAGATATTATAGAAAATTGTTTAGAATTTCAGCATGTAAAAGTAATTGAAATACCTTGGTATTAGTAGTAATATTTAACTCATTAAGCTCTGTCTGCCATAGCGTTTTAAAAAGTATTAGGTGAAAAATATCGGACCTATTAAAATAAATTTAATATAATTTTTTTATATTTTTAGATTTTATCTGTTTTTTCTATTTCGGTTTGAGTATAGCTGCACGAAAGCTTATTAAAAAATATATTATCAACCGTTCAAATTCTACCGGTGAATTTCTACATTGATTCCTGAATAGTTTGCCAAATATCATTATTGGACACTCTTTTGCATTAATTGAATTTTATTAATGTTTCTAAATCTTGATTTTTTTCTATTTGTTTAATAGTTACTGTGAGTTGATAATAAACGGGTCCCAAGGATCTCGCAACTCCGTTTTTTAGAAGTTAGTTACTTGCTCGCAATACATGGAAATCACCCAGATAGCTTGCGGATTTACTGTACACGATGTACCACAGATATCCTCTAAATAAAGGCCTGAGGATATCCCCTTGCGCAGTAACGAGAACATTATAATAGAAATAAAGGCAAAAAGTGAAAAACTCTAAAACAAAATGAAACCTAAAAAGTTAAATTTTGAACAACTGAGAAGGAAAATACTTAGTTTTTTTAGATTTGTGGTGTTTTGGGAGACATTTTATTGCTAACGTTTTTGTGTACATCTACATCGACGTCAGTGTGGGCAAGTCCTAAAAGAAAACGGAATCAAACCTTTAAAATCTACTTGTTTTTATTATTTTTGGAAACGAACAGAAAATACGGATTCATCTAAGTACAAAAATTACAAAAACGTAAAAATAATATATTTGTTTATAAGACCACATTTGACAACACTGTTCGGCTGCAACCAATGACGCAATTACTCGCGGTCGTGCCGTGCCGGACTCGCTCGAGTCTCGTCGGCTTCTCCTCCGTCTCGTCGTCCGCCATCTTCTCAGCCTTCTTTACGGCGACTTGAAGTCTATTTTGAGTAGTTTGTGTGCTATGCTTACTGCTTTCAGTGTTTTCATTTCAGTTATTTTTTTGCGGTATTTTATATTACTGAAGAACTAATAATTTATGTAATTAAAGGTCTATGGCAATATATAACATAAGATTTGATAAATTATAACCTGAACGAACCATTGTTGTTTAGTCTACCTACATCATGTCTTGTTTTTTTTTTATTTTGCTAGGTCAATGAGATAGCAAGATCAGGCAGCGGCAGCAGTTGTGAGTTTGTCAAACAAGTTCTGACCCCGGTGATTTGAAATGAACTTGCAATGAAATTTAATTTGTTAGACATGCAGAAAAAGGAGAAATTTTGAAAATTATAATTTAGTAAGTAGATATTACGTTGTTTAAAAATAAATAGGACGTAAATGTAATATAAGTAAAGTATAAGAAACGTAATTTAATAAAATATATATACGGCTATTGCTTAGTTGACATTTATTTTAAGGAGTGATTGCTGGACCGAGTTAAGATAAAACTGACATTTTTGTAACCTATATATACGTTTTAGATTACATATCTTTTCCAGTTTCTAGTTTTTTCTAGTTTTCTTTCGGCGCGATTGTACCTACTCTCATGAATGAGGTCTTACCTATATATATATATATATATATATATATATATATATATATATATATATATATATATATATATATATATATATATATATATATATATATATATATATATATATATATATATATATATATATATATATATATATATATATATATATATATATATATATATATATATATATATATATATATATATATATATATATATATATATATATATATATATATATATATATATACAACTATATATATAAATAGATTAATGTATATATACTTATATCATCGTGGAGATTAGCATCTGAGATCACTTTCATGTGAGTCTAGCAGCGTCAAATCAAGCCTTTCCGTAAAAGGCGGAAGTTGGGATAGTTTTTATAAAGTACACATATATAAAACCTGTCTTTCTCAAAAATAAAATATTTTTAGATGCGGATAAATGTGAGAATTCAATAGCTGCTTGATTGAAAAAATCTACTTTCACCAAAGAATGACAGAAAACCTGTCAAATATTAGTTATTATTTTAGTTTTGTTCTATATTTTTGCTATATTATATTTATTATATTTAGTTTTATTAATTGTATCAATCGGTAGTCCTTCACTTTTTTACTTTTTACCATGAAAAGCAAAATTAAAGATTAAATATTAATTGGAAAAAACTTGTGCATTTCAAATATCCACTACTATTCCAGTAATGACTTCACCAACCATACCCAATAAGTTAATTCCATCACACGCAAGTACCAAATACTGGGATAGAATTTTTGCAATCGTACAACCAATTGGACTATTGGACATTATCTTTCCAGTATTTCTCATAGGCTAATAATTAAGTAAGGTCCACTGGTATATCTTGAAAGATCCTATATCCTTACAGTCGGGTATACTAACGATGTCTCAACTAGTATAACTGGATATCCTTAGTATGTCCTAACAAACATCCTACGTATCTGATATACTGTGGACGTTCTGATATACTATCCTTGTAACGTCTTACGGATGTCCTTTTGGTAAAACAGTATATGCCTAGGATATACGCTATGTCCCGTCAAATTTCCTGAGGACGTTTTACGGACGCCCTTATGCTTGTGGTTTTAATTGTAGCATATAGCATGCAGCAGTGTGTATCGGTATTGGTGCTATTTGGGTATAGGGACGACCCTTACAGCAAGTCCTCAATATGTGCCGTAATTGTCCGACCGAAAGACAGGTTATAAATTGCAGCTCCCGCTGTAACGATTTTCGAATCACATTTTCATAGCTAAACAAGTTATTGATCGCACGTTGCTCGTCATTTTCCACTAGACCGTACGTTAATGAAATTCCTGCAACACATGCTAATGAATTCACACTGCCACCCTTCACACTAATCATTTAATTAGCGGACTGGAACTGGAACGTGGTGGATCGCGTTAACTGCAATTCCGCCCAACTAATTTTTGGGTTTCGATTACGGTTTGCCTAACGCACTGAGCAAAGGAACTCTGTCAAATGGACACCGTGTGCCAAATAAAACGATCCACCGTACGAACTGGAAACCCATAGGAGATAGGAAAAACAGTTTCCTACAAGAGTTTGCTAAAGATTTAAAATATCACAATTTCTCATCAACTTTGATATTTTAAGTGGGACCCCTGTATATTCCGATATTTCTGAAATCCTTGGTTAAAATAAAGTCCACTTTCTTAAGCAATTCCTTTTCAAATTTTGCATAGTTTAGGCAGAAATTGAGGTTATGTATTTCTTTTTTTTTTTCTTTTTTTGATTGCCCCATATAATATTGTGTAGTGACGCTACTGATCCAGATATTGCAACGAAAATTTAACACCATACTAAGAAGATGATGCACTACTCAATCAGTTTGACAGATGCGTCTCATCTATCAGATATCAATTCTAGAACAAAAAATAAGATAAGTTTGAGAATCGTTTTTTTTAATTTCCACGTATTAATGGACACCCTGCATTGTTAGCAATAGGTTTTATTGGTATATCTGGAGTATTATATCTTCAAAAAGGAGTAGTATCATGTCTATGCTATTTAAATTCAACTAGAATTTATGCGGGTGTTATCTTAAACCTCGAATATCTCAAAAAGTAAGTAAAAGTAAAAAAAAAAAAAGATAAATTACAAACGTACCTTATTTTTTGTCATAGAATTGACATTTGAATAAAAATATCGGGGGTTCCATTTGAAAATCTTAAGATTTTGTTAATTGAATTCACCACCATTGGGACACGATCTCCTTAGTCCGTGGTTAAATTCTTATTGCAACACCTGGATCAGTAGCGTCACAACATAATTTTATATGGGGCAATCAAAAAATGAAAAAATTACCTAGCCTCAATTCCTGCCTAAACTATGAAAAGTTTGAATAGGAATTGCTTACGAAAGTGACCTTTATTTTAACCAAGGATTCCACAAATGTCGAAATATACAGGGTGTTCCATTTAAAATAACAAAGCTGATGTCGTGGAAGACCCTTTTGGGACATCCTATATCAACCAAATTGTAATATATTAAATCTTCAGGAGAGTCTAAGAAATTTTTGTACGCGACTTTTTTTATGGGTTTTCAGATCGTATAGTGGATCGTTTTATTTGGCACACGGAGTACGTGGTGGTCAATAGAAGATGGAACATTAATATACAGCGTGTTGATGGTCGCTAAGGTTTGCAAATTTGGTTGGTTCCATAAGCGTCTCCAAAAAGTAGCATCAACATTGAAATTTTACATGGGACACCATGATTATTATTCCATGTTCCGATCTGCAGTGGTTAACGAGAAATTAATTATTCTTTATTATTTTTCCGACAAATTTGTATTACTACGACACTGGAACCAGTAGACAGTTAAAATTTTGGACAAAACTTAGGGACAAAATTCCATTATAACGAAATTAAGTGTTACACTATACAGGGTTGGTCAAAACTAATGATACAAAAATGGCGGAAAAGTGCATTATTTTAAAAGGAGAATTCTGATTTAATGGATTTGATTATTAGGCATGGACATTGCAGCCACATTATAAATTAAGCAAAACTTTACATACTACGTATCGAAAATAAGGGTATCCCTATCTTTTCCAAAACGTGTCACTTCAAATGGTTCCATTAGTACCGCAGCAGATAACTTAGGTTTTGCAAGCAGCTTTAAACTTCAAGCCCCTAATGTTTATGATTATGCTAGCAAAGCCTCTTTTATTAACTCATTGTTGATCCGCATTCAAGAGGACCCTCGTTTTGTGTGTAAATGATAAATAAACAAGCGCATATTGCTGTCTATTATATAAGGATACTTGTGGCTGACAATTTTAATACATTCCTAATAACAAAATACTCATGTCATTTAAAAATTGTTACTAAGAAAAGCTAATTTGGAACTTGCCATTTTTCTAACCAAATTTTAAACACCCCTGTATAAAATAAGAAAAACCTGTTTATTGTCAGAGTAATATTGTCCCTCTAGCAGTACTGTTGACTATCCGGAACGAAACAGATGGGGCAAGATTTTGTTCTTATTTTTTCAATCGACATTTTCGTTTTTTTTTTATTATTTATTGCTCCTGAAATATCGAAGCAAATAAAAAAATATTTTTTGTGTATAAGATTTTGTTCTTATTTTTTCAATCGACATTTTCGTTTTTTTTTTATTATTTATTGCTCCTGAAATATCGAAGCAAATAAAAAAATATTTTTTGTGTATAAGAGAGAACGCCAAAAGGTGTGTAACTTAAAAATATAAACATTTCATAACGTCAAACTTTTTCGTATAAAACTTTTTTAAAAATTTAAAAATTTTAAAGCTAAAATAAAACCATTTTTTATTGAACATTGTTTTTATTCTGTGTAACAATACAAACAAGTGATGAAGGATATTGCTCATAGTGGCCTCTATTTATTCGTGATCTTCAATTTTTTCTTCATTTTTATATTTGTTTACATTGTATGTTATTGGATTTGTTTTTCTACCTATTCATTGTAGATTTCATTTATTCAGTCGAGCAACGTGAATATTTCCGAAAATATTCGAAAAAAAAACGGAATTTTTAAGTTTTCGTTTCTACTCACCCCTGGCTTCATTTGTAAGGATAACTAAAAATGAAAAACACATTTTTATGGCCACTTTTTTTGTTCTTAGTATGATTAAATATTGACATAGCATTATCAACTTTAGTTTTTTAAATATGCATCTGATTTTCTTTTCAACTTAATTAATTTAAATTTAATTAAATTTAATTATTTTTTTCAATTTAATAATTTTAATTAATTTCGCTCTTACACTTTGATATGGGTATCAAGGTAGTATAGCACAAATTGTTTATGTAAACTGTTTTAACAAAATAAATAAGAACTAGAAGTTCAAATTTTCACGAAATTATATATTTTCACATGACAATGGTTTCGAAAATACTATGTCTTTATCAAATGTAATATTTACAAACTACCTGCTACTATAAGTGTTAAACACAGAAAAACTCATTTTTGACGACAATTTTGATATTTTACTACAGCCACAAAAAGTAGAAAATTAAATTTATTGGAAGCCATGGAGATTAACAAAATGAGACATTCAAATGTATTGCTTAACGAGTAATTATATTTAAATACCTCTCTTTTATTGAACTAAAATTCCCAAAACAATATTAATAAAGGTTTTATTGTTACTTTTCGGTATATATAGTAGCAGGTAGTTTGTAAAGATTACGTTTGATAAAGACACAGTG